GTATGTAACGCAATGCCTGATTTCAATATAAATTGAAAGTGTTAAGGTTTGGCCTCATATTGTATGGTTTTGGTAAACCTAAAGGAAAATTGTATATTGTTTGGGCAGCCTAAGTAATGAATTTGGGCCCTAGAATTATTGCTCTCTTTTTGGCATTCAAGGTGATACCTCACTGTGGAGCAATTACTGTATACATATGTGTGCCGAACCTGTGTGCAATAAAGCCCAACTCCAGGAAACCTAATAATCCTCCCTTGCAGTGGGACTGCACCTGCACTGCAAGGGGTAAAGGATAATTTCACCTTTTGGAAAATGTTATATGTTACACCCCTATTTAGGGTGGAACATGTAACATATTCCTTGCTGTTGCCGCCTCTGCCCCCATCCCCTCTGTGTGAGAGCTCCACCCATACGGCTGCATTGTTCATTCACAGTTTCCCGTGAATGAATAAACTATGAAAAAAATCTCAGTGGTTCTAAAGCCTTAACAATTAAAAATTGTTTAGGTAGTAGTATGCCCCCTCAGCCCCCCAATACTTATCTGAGCCCTCACTTGATCCAGCACTGTGCCCATCTGAAGCAGCTCTCTCCCTCATCCCCACTCACAGGCTTGGCTGAGAGCAGTGCGAATCTTTGGTTCTCACTGCTGTCAGTCAAATCCTGTGATGAGGGAGCAGGGGCTGGGGCTGACCTGTGCTGCCTGCGTCTATAGGTGCAGGCAGCGTGGCTCAGGATTGAATCACACAGGTGTGCCACAATAGGAAACAGCTTCCGATAGTGGCCCAGAAAGAAAAGGAGGAGCCAGGAGTGTTGCAAGAGGAACCAAGAAGAGGAGAATTGGGTCCACTCTGTGCAATACCACTGCACAGAGCAGGTAAGTATATAAGCCTGTTTTGTTATTTTAAAAAAAAATGAAAAATACTGTTTGCATTTACTTTAAATCTGCTTTTCTGAATCCTCTAGACAGAAATGGACAGTTAACCCTTTCAGTGCAGAAACTGCCCCACTGAAAAGTGAAAATTTTTTAGGTTTTCTGGAGTTCAGCTTTAAGCTAACCATACACAGATATATTTCTCTCATTTAACCCACTAGTAGATTCCTCCATTGATACCAAACCGCATAGAAACCGGAATCTCCCCTGGTGGTTGCTGTACTCCGCTACCCCGCGGAGGTGCTGCATAAAAAAACATTAGGTTAGTCCATGTGTATTTATATGTAGCTTGTAAAATTACCTGAAACTGACTTGATGCAAGCCTCATGTTATCCTTTGTAAAGGAGCACCCAAATTGGGAGGAGAGACTTCTGTGAGGCAGTCTGGCTCTGAGGTATTGCACAGTGGTGTCTGTTACTGAGAGAGCTCCCTGGAACTAGAGACAGAAGGATCATCTTCTCGGCGACCTGCTGCTCCTTCATTGTCCAGTCATAGGCATGTCTTAGAACAGGCTGCATTGTTCAGCTGCAGTGTAGTCAGCATGTTTAGTTTATCTATATCCCTCTGCCCCTCCCAAACAATTGTATATTGTGTCCTCACTGCTTCCTTCACCCCTCTACGGCACCCACCACCTCCTCCTATTACTCCACTCTCCCACTGACCCCAACACCTCCACTAGTAGTTTCTCACGCTTCTGCACATCCCGCTCCCATGCCACCTTTCTCACCCTTCTCCTCCTCATAACCGCGGGGGACATCTCCCCGAATCCTGGCCCTCCATCACCTCCCTCACCCACACAACACCCTTCCGCCTCCACGTCCTGCCGCAACCCCCACAACTTAGTATCTGTCCCCCTGCTCCCTAAAATCCCCCCCCCCCCCCCCCCCCCCGTTTTAATCTGCACTCCTGAACGTCGGTGTGCAACAAGCTTACCGCCATCCACGACCTCTTTGTTTCCCGTTCCCTCAACCTCCTAGTGATCACGGAAACCTGGATCCAGCCCACTGACTCTACCTCCCCTGCTGCACTCTCCTACGGAGGTCTCACCTGGACCCACTCACCCAGGCCCAACGGTCGTAAAGGTGGTGGGGTTGGTCTGCTCCTGTCACCGCAGAGCACCTTCCGAGTCCTCCCAAACCCCCCCTCCCTATCCTTCTCCTCCTTCGAGGCCCCACTGCGTCCGGCTATTCTCCCCAACCCCCTTGAAGATTGCTGTGATATACCGGCCTCCTGGATCCATACCCTGCTTCCTGGATGACTTTTCCTCCTGGCTACCCTTCTTCCTCTCCTCTGAGCTACCCATCATCATCCTTGGGGACTTCAACATCCCTGTCAACCTCGACAACCCGACACATCCCGTCTCCTCCACTTAACCTCCTTCTTTGCACTTGCACAGTGCATACAATCCACCACCCACTCTGACGGTAATATCCTTGATCTTGTCTTCGCTAACCGCTGCGCTCCCCACAACCTCACTAACACCCCCTTCCCTCTCTCTGACCACAACCTGATTACCTTCTCTATCTCCTCATCCTCCAACGCCTACCCCTCCAAATGTCACACTGCCCCCCTCCACTCTGCAGATGATCAACTCCACGACAGCATCCTCCCCCTGTCCTGCCCCGACTTGGCTATGACCGCCTACAACAATGCGCTCTCAACTGCCCTTGACTCACTGGCGCCTTTAACCACACGCAACATCAGACCCCGACCGCTCCAGCCCTGGCAGACTGATCACACCAAAACCCTCAGACGACACCGTCGTGCCCTGGAGCGACTATGGCGCAAAACAAAATCCCAACAAGCCTTCACCCGCTACAAATCTGCCTTCCACACCTACACCTCCTCCCTCCATGCTGCCAAACAAGCCTACTTCCTGACCCTCATCAAGGCCCTCTCCTCCAATCCTTGCCGACTCTTCTCCACCTTCAACTCTCTACTCTCACCACCCCCACCTCCACCCAGCACCTCACTCACTGCCCTTGAGATTGCCAATCACTTCAAAAACAAGATTGACACAATTCGCAAGGATTGCCACAACTCACACGCCCTCTCAACCCGTCCCCTACCACACAGCTACCCCCTCATCCCCCCTCCCCCTCGACATAACCCGCAGGGACTTCGTCGCTGCTCAAACTCCCTCCAACCCCCTCACTCAGCTACCCCCTCATCACCCCTCTCCCACGGCCCCACCACTGCTCTGACCTCCTCTTCCACCCCACCCTACATTCCTCATACTGAAGCTCCCCCCAACACTCCGCACCTTTAACCTTACTACCATCGAGGAAGTCTCCAAGATCCTCTCTGATGCCCGCCTCACCACCTGCCCCCTCGACCCTATCCCCTCACAACTCCTACGACCTCCCCTCCCCCTCCATTCTATGCTCCCTCACCCCACATCTTCAATCTCTCCCTCTCCTCTGAAACATGCACACATCAACCCCATACTTAAAAAGCCCTCCTTGGACCCCAATGACCCGAACAACCTCAGACCCATCACCGTGCTCCCATTTACATCTAAACTCCTCGAGCGCCTAGTATACACCCGCCTATGCTCTCACCTCAACGACAACAACCTCCTCGATCCCCTACAGTCTGGCTTCCGTCCCCTACACTCCACCGAAACTGCCGTACTCAAACTCTCCAACGACCTGCTAACCGCCAAAGCTAATGGCCACTATTCAGTGCTTCTACTCCTTGACCTCTCTGCGGCCTTCGACACAGTCGACCACCCCATCCTCCTCAAAAAACTACACTCCCTCGGCCTCAGAGATTCTGCTCTCTCCTGGCTCTCATCCTACCTGTCACAACGCTCCTTCAGCGTTACCTATAATGCTACCACCTCCCCCTCACTCCCCCTCTCTGTTGGGGTCCCTCAAGGCTCTGTCCTTGGGCCCCTTCTCTTCTCCATCTACACCTCCTCCCTTGGCCAACTCATACACTCTCACGGCTTCAACTACCACCTCTATGCCGATGACACACAAATCTATCTCTCAACCCCCCATCTCACCCCCTCGGTCTCCACCCGAATCACACACCTACCTACTTCCTTAAACTGAACCTCTCCAAAACCGAGTTTCTTGTCTTCCTCCCAGCCCGGATACCACCCCCCATTGACTTCTCTATCACATCGAATAACGCTACCATCAAACCCGCCCCGCAGGCCAGAGTACTTGGTGTCATTCTGGACTCCAACCTATCCTTCGAGCCCCAAGTCCAATCTTTAACAAACTCGTGCAGACTCCACCTCCGCAACATCGCCAAAATCCGCACGTTCCCAACTCCAGAAACCACTAAACAGCTCATCCACTCCCTCATCATATCACGACTCGACTACTGCAACTCCCTCCTCACTGGCCTGCCTCACCGCTTGCTATCCCCGCTTCAGTCGATCCTGAATACGGCTGCCAGACTCATTCACCTTTCCAACCGCTCCATCTCCGCCACCCCCCTCTGCCAATCCCTCCACTGGCTTCCGATTGCGCAACGGATCAAATTCAAAATCCTAACATTGACGTACAAAGCTGTCCACCATACTGCCCCGAACTACATCACTGACCTAATATCCAAGTACCACCCCAGCACGCACACTCCTCCGCTCCTCACAAGACCTCCTTCTCTCTAGTTCCCTGGTCTCCTCCTCCCATGCCCGCCTCCAGGACTTCTCCAGGGTGTCACCCATCCTCTGGAACTCCCTGCCCCAACCCATCAGATTATCACCTACTCTCCTCTCCTTTAGGCGCACCCTGAAAACCCATCTCTTCAGGGAAGCCTACCCCACCCCCTGCTAACTTGCCGACCTCCTCCACTCTTCCTACCACTCCATCCCCCACAGCTATCTCCTCCTGTGCCACCATCCCCTCCCTCCTAGATTGTAAGCTCGAAAGAGCAGGGCCCTCAATCCCCTCATGTTTTGCATTGTATTGGTATTGTTCTGTCACATGTTCTGTCCCCCTCTGTAATGTACAGCGCTGAGCGAACTATTGGCACTTTATAAATACTGTATAATAATAATCTAAATCCTACTTTATTCTCTTAATGAAAGATTCTTTTTATTTTCTCTACACAGAACCTTGCGCTATGTGTCAGAAAGCAGTAGTGACAAACTTGTTCCTGATGCCGATGTGAACAGCACACTAGTCAACCTTTTCCAAGCTTTATTCAGGGCTGATTTGTACAGACAGAGAGACCTCCTCCACATGCTTCCTGACTGCACGAAGTTCTCGTATTATAACCCAGACATTGGAGACTCACAGAACTGCAACACTGAACGGGATGCCATTTTACAAGTGGATGAGATATTGTACAGGTCTCTTGGGTTCACCATTGAGAGACGTCTAAGCTCTCTGGACACAGCTGGGATTGGAGTTTTCATTTCTAGAGGGTTTGTGCCCAAAGGAGCCGTAGTGTCTATGTACCCCGGTACAGTTTAGAAAATGAATGTGACTCGTGTTTATTTCCAGGCAAACCGCTCCATACACAGTTTAGATTTGTATATTTTGCTGTTGTAAGTTTGTCCAGCTGTTTTTTGTAAGGGACGTTCTAAGCCATTAGTTTTTTTGGCACCTGTGCCCCATTGGAAAGATTTTCCTTCACTTTCTGTCCACAGCGGATTGCTTTTCAGAGGGGCGGTAATGTCCACTGCCTGTGTGAAAGGGGCCTAACTGCGTTCTCCGTGGAAAGAAGTGACAGATTAGTCCAGTGGTGGGCAACCTTTTTTTTTTTTCAACTGAGCCAAATCTCGCCAAAACCACGATTGAAATTTATTTTGAGAGCCACATTTTTAAAACTGAAAATACATCCCCCATATAGTAATTCATCCCCCATATAGTAATTCATCCCCCATATAGTAAGTCCCCCCTGTGTCAATTCACTTACCTTTGCTCCGCGCGTTCCTCTCGCCGTGTTCCCGCGCTGTTTCGGTCTTCAGGGCGGACTGTGAGAGGAGAGGAGTATGTCACGCTGCCCCGCCTACATCCTGACAGCCAATGTTTGCCACGCTCCACGGGCCGGATTAAAAGGTCCCCGGGCCGTAGTTTGCCCATTGCTGGGCTAGCTGCAGAGTCCTGACTTTTGGGGCGGCCGCCCGAGAGGAGGGAGGGGAGCGGGCGCCCGGCACACAGAAGAGCCGCATTAGAGTGTGCAAAGAGCCGCATGTGGCTCGCGAGCCGCGGCTTGCCGACCACTGGATTAGTCTATTATGATTTAGACCCAAATACTGGTTAGTCCTAAAGCAGTAGTAAAGTCACTTGTACCTACAGGTAAGCTTCTGATATGGCTTACCTGTAGGTATTGGGAGTATCTTCTAAAACTGCGCTGTTTAGAAGATTTTCTCAGGGGCTGCAGCCGGTGATGTCACAGGCGCATGCGCAGTAGCTTTACATTCGGGGTGTCAGTGCAAAGAGCTCTGTGCCACGGTTCTGACTCCCAAATGCATGCATGGGAGTAACGTCATCACAGCCCGGCCATTCAAAAAACCGGGTGAGTGAAGATGGAAGCGCCAGCAGTGTTCCACATGATGACTCCATTTAAAAGGTAAGTTTGTCATAATGTGCTACTTTGTGGTGCATACTAGCACATTATGGCATGAGCCTGCAGGGAGACTATTAACCACTTAAGAGCCGCCCTATAGCAGATATACTGCTACAGGGTGGCACCGCTGTGCAAAATCACGTGTGTGTGTATATATATACGTGATTTTGCATTTGCAGGTAGGGGGTGCACGCATCGCCTTACCCGCTCCGCTATTGGCTGCTGCATATGTCAATCACTGGGTCTCGGCTGGCAACACAACACAGCACACATAGTAAAACACACACAGCACACCGTTAAGGGATAAGTTCATCTTTTAGACAAAAATAATAAATGCACATTTTTTTTTGCAGGTAAAAAAATGTGCATTTATTTTTGTTGTGTACAGGAGCCTGGAAAGCATTTCATCAGTAGATCACTGTGCCTAAGGGAAACGTGTTACATGTTCCACCCTAAAAACGGGTGGAATATGTAACATGTTCCCAAAGGTGAACTTATCCTTTAACCCTTTGATTGCCCCAGATGTTAACCTCTTCCTGCAGAGTGTCATTAGTACAGTGTTGCTTTTTATTAGTGTCACTGGAGATGTCCATGGCAGTTACTTCCCCCCCCCAGTGTAAGAATGCCTGCTGCAGTCCCGCTATACGTCATTGATGGCCACCGCTACTAGTATAAAAAAAATAAAAATTCCAGTATATATACCGCTATTTATAGACCCTCTAATTTTAACGTAAACCAATTAATATACACCTTTTGGGATTATTTTTTAGCAAACACATGTAGCAGAATACATTTTGGCCTAAATTTTATGAAGAAATTTTATTTTTTTATTGGATATGTTTAATAGCAAAAAGTCAAAAATATTGATTTTTTTTTTTTTTTTTTTTTTTTTTTGTGTATGTATGTTTATAGCACAAAAAATAAAAAACGCAGAGGTCAAATACCACCAAGAGAAAGCTCTATTTGTGAGGAAAAAAGAATATAAATTTCATTTGGGTGCAGTATTGTATTCCATGCAATTATCAGATAAAGTAACACAGCGCCGTATTGCAAAAAAAAATAAAAAATCGGCCTGATCAGGAAGGGGGGTAAATCTTCTGGGCAAGTGGTTAAAAAAAAAAAAAAAAAAAAAAGGTAGCGTTTTTACTACCGCTTTAATGTTAAAATCCAGGCAAAAATTGAGTACAAAATTGAAATACTAATGTTTGTTTTATCTACTAAAGGATTTGTAATTTTGTTCAGACATTCTTGTAATGCGCACACCTCTACTGCTCCGGATGATCAATCTGATACTTTCTGGTTTACCCATAATTTCCTTGGGTCAGCTTTAATGCTTCTTGGACTGAGATAACAATGCCAATTAATTGCCCAATGATAACGCTAGAGGTGGGGAGGTGACAAGAGAAGTCACCAAGCTGAACAAGGAAGTAAATGGGTCACTTGTCTGTCAGTACAATATACAAGGGACCTGTATATCATAAGAATCATTGACCAGAGTTAGGAATTCTTGAGCAGGTAAATAAGTAAACATATATGCATTTCAACTTGTGTAGAGCTGTTTGCTTGGAATTTGGGTTTAAAGTATATTTTCACTTACAGTCAAATTAGAGAAATACCCCACTATGTGTTTGTGTTCCCACATGCCTATTTGTTTTCAAATATTTCTTACCTTTTGGATATTTCTCAGGTGGAGGTATCATGGCTGACTGCAAGCTTTTGTGAACAATGTTAGAGTAAGCCTATCCCAACTATGTCTTCATTATTGTACAATGCAAGACGCCAAGACTCTACACTTTTAAAGTATAACTAAAAGCAAAACTTTTGTTCTTTTTTAGTCTTGGATAGAGTGGAGATGGGTTTGCAAGTTGTTACTGCTGTCTGTGCCCCCATTAGGGATACTCCCCCTCTCTACTTGTCCTGTTTACTGTTAGAACTAAAAGGAAAAGAAGGTTGGGTTGTCCCCTGAATTGTAATGGAGGAGAAATGTTGTTTTTGTTATTATAATATAAGACTTGTATAGCGCCAACAGTTTGTGCAGCGCTTTACAATATAAAGGGAGACAGTACAGCTACAATACAATCAAAACAAGAGGATTAAGAGGGCCCTACTCATAAGAGCTTACAATCTAATAGGGTGGGGCAAGTGGTACAAAAGGTTATAACTGTGGGGATGACCTAATGGAAGTGATAAATGTCTACTTGGAGGTGTGATAGACTTCCCTGAAGAGATGAGTTTTCAGGGATCGCCTAAAGGCAGCCAGAGTAGGGGATAGCTGGACAGATTGATGTACAGAGTTCCAGAAGATGGGAGAGACTATGGCAAAGTCCTGGAGACAAGTATGGGAGGAGGAGATAAGAGAGCTTGAGAGCAGGAGGTCATGAGAAGAGCAGAGAGGGCAGTTTGGGTGATACTTGGAGACAAGATTGGTGATGTAGCTCGGGGAAGAGTTGTGGATGGCTTTGTATGTTAGTATTTTGAATTTAATTCGCTGGACAATCGGAAGCCAATGGAGGGATTGGCAGAGAGGGGTGGCAGACCCTGTGCAGTTGGTAAGGTAGATGATCCAGGCAGCAGCATTTCTGATAGACTGGAGAGGGGATAGCCTACAGAGAGGTAGGCCTATGAGAAGGGAGTTGCAATAGTCAAGGTGAGAGATAACATGGAGTGAACATGTAGCTTGGTGGTTTGATTGGTTAAAAAGGGTGAATTTTGCAGATGTTACGGAGGTGAAGTCTACAAGCTTTTGATTAGATTTGGGGCCAAAAGGATAGGTCATAGGCTAGGGTTACACCTAGTACCCTGGTTTGAGGGGAGGGACTAATAGTTGTATTATTGATCTTGATGGAAAAGTCATGTAGGAGTGCAAGAGGGGGAGGGAATATTACCAGCTCAGGGACACTAGTTCTGGTGACCCCGGAGACTACCAGGGATTCCCTCACTTTGGAGGGATTTCCACTCCCTTCCTGTTTGACTATGGGAATTCTTCCCAATGGGAAACAGTTGGCAAAAAATAAACTGTCAGGGTTAATTTACCTCCCTTACTCTATTCAAAAAAAAAAAAAAAAAAGTTTTGCCTTTTAATTCTACTTTGTCCTTTTGTTAGGACAGACCGTGTTCAAATCTAGTAACAATTGATAATGGAGATCTGCCTGCACAATACAGACAGGGTTAATTGTGGCAAACACAGCCCCCTCACAGAGGGAACTATGTGGGATTTTAGCAGACAATTCTATCATAACAATTTTTTCTTTGTTAATCAGTGTAGTCTTGATTACACCATAACAATTTAGCACATTATTTGGCTGCATTCATACATTAGCAGTATACTTACCAAGGTCTGTTCTGCTGTATATTACTCATACTTACCTTGAGAAAGCATAGCTACAGTTCTATATACCACCTTTCTATTTCGTTTTTTTATGGTGAATGTTGTTTAGACTGTTTAGCTTTTTAAGTTGGCAAAGATCAGCTTTTACTATTTTAAGCCATATGCTTGGTTAATCTAGGTATAGTAACATATGATTAAATAGTAATGTAGGGAATGAATTGCACAGATGAAGTGTTACTTTTGTAACTTTCCTCTAATAATAGGTGCCATTTACCAGAAGTATGAGCCAATATTTTTTCAATCGGTTGGAAACCCATTTATTTTTCGGTGCCTGGATGGTATTCTCATTGATGGAAATGACAAAGGGATCTCAAAGTCTGTATACTGGTAAGAAATGTTATCTTTCATAGAGAAGTAATATTACATGGAATGCTCTGGTGACACCATTTGTGAGGTTGGAAAATGTAAATCTTAGAATAACTGGCTCTGTGTATGATTTGTTAAAATGGGAAAACTTTGTTTTTGCCTTCTAGCAACTAGGGATGCTCCGAAAGTTCGGTGGCCGAAACTAAAAAGCACTGATGCAGGTGCCGAAAAAAAACCCTCACTGCTGCCCTGCCTCCACTCATTAGTTCTCAGCCTTACCTGAGAAACCATCAAATGATCCTGGCACTTGGCATACAGATTAGTGAAGGAAAGATGGCCTCCACTCATCTCTATGCCCTTTTTTTTTTTTAAAGCACTACTAGATCAATGCTTTTTTTGATCTAATGCTTTACATTGCATGGGAGAGATTTGGGGTCTTATTTACCCCACATCTCTCCATAAAGAGGACCTGTCACTACTTATTTCTATCACAAGAGATGCATGCATTCCTTGTGACAAGAATAAAAGTGATTCAAATTTTTTTTAAAAGGACAGTGCAAAAAAAAAAAAAACAATAAAAAAAAAAAGTTTAATGTACCCCTGTCCCCCCGTGCCCGCACGTAGTGGTGAACACGTACGTAGGCCATGCCTACATATGTAAATGGTGTTCAAACCACACATGAGGTATCGCCACAAACGTCAGAGCAAGAGCAATAATTCTCACACTAGACCATCTCTGTAACATTACACTACTAACCTGTAAACATTTTTAAAACATCACCCATGGAGATTAAGTACCGCAGTTTCATGCCATTCAATTTAATTCATGCAATTTTAAAGTGTGACATGTTGGGTATCTATTTACTTGCTGTAACATTCTCTTTTCATATTTTACAAAAAAAATAGGGTATATATAGTGGTTTTGTTTTTTTGTTTTTTCTTTCTTTTTAATTAGCGTATTTTTTTCCAAAAAATATATATATTCATTTTTAAAAACAGCGCGTTTCGGCCAAGTGCATTTTGAATTTTCGGTTTCGGCACCAGAATTTTCATTTCAGTGCACCTCTACTAGCAACCAATCGGCTTCCTGTTTTCTATTTGCTGGACAGGTTACATTTTGGAAGAAAGACATTGATTGTTTTTTGGGAGGTAAACACAGGCAGTTCATCAGTTAGACAGTTTATATATGAGGCTAAATGTGTTTCAGGTCTTGCAGCAGAAGAGACCAGCTGGGGCCCCTGAAGATGTGTGATTCCACATGGCTGACAAGCACCCCCCATAATCCACTGGCTGTGGGACAGTATGTTAACAATTGCTCCAATGGTATGTCTGCCCATTCACTTACCAACCTTCACAATACACACGCACACTATTTACTTTATTGCACCACTTTCACATTTTATAAAATGTAGTAACTCACAGCAAACAGTAATCATCATTGCTTCATTGAATCTGCTGTGAATTGCATCAAAATTCTTTACACTGCCTATTTGTACCATTTATCTGAAAGTAATATTTGATGTGATAATCACATTTTTATACTTGTTTGCAGTTCTATTTTTTTAACATTGCTTTTCATTGGTCCCCCGCATATTAAGGAATGTGATTAGGATTCCCTGCTTATAACAATGTTTTGCCCGTGTAGGCTAATTTTGTTTGCAGCATGCTCCACGTTAAAGCAGAACTTTACCCATAAGAGTTTGATAACAATTAATGTTCATTAATAAAGTGATACTAAACATACAATGTTTAATTGCCATCATGCCTTCTGTTACCAGTATGTGTAAAGATCATGCCACTGTATTTAATTCAATATAGAAAATCACCTGAGTACCTTATTTAATCATTGCTGTTAAGAGGTGACATGATGTTTCCCAGGCCCTTCCTGTCCTTAGGGGAATATCTGAGGGAGAAGTTGCTAGTACTCTGCTGGTGTATGAATCTGTGACTGTGCTAATTGGTGTTGTGCCAGTCACATTACATAAAAAAACAGCTTTCAGAATAGAGAATAATTTATGGCAACAAAGTGTTTTTAAAGTTTATTACAAAGTTTATATTTCAAAGCAATGTTTATTTTTTGCAGCAACATAGTATATAAGTTGACTGACAATAGCTTTCACTTTTTTCACGCTGTAAAGAGATCTGGAAGAGGTTCTGCCACTCACAGGCTGTGTCACGCCCTTCCAACCTGTGTTATAGGTGTGTATGTGCTGGGAATAACAGGAAGGCAAAGCCTCTGTCAATTAACATCTTATATCCCTCCACCATAGTATTTAGCAATACAAGGACACGGAAGAAGGAGGGAGAGGAGTGTCATTTATCAGTGTGTATATGCCCACATGTGTGCCTCTATAGTTATGAGGGCTGCACAGGTTAAAAAAAAAAAAAGCGAAAATGAACCTGTTTGAATGTAACTGCACATGCTCATTAGATGTGGCAGTGGCTGATCTACACAATCTCAGGCTACAATGGGGACACAGACAAGTAGGGAGGGACAGTGAACATTGGGATCAACCAAATATTTTGCAGTCTACCGAAAACAAATGCTGTAGTGGCAAAGTGAGTATGGACATAATCTAATATAGCATGTATTGACAGTTTGTAATGATTTGGGTTTAATGACATTTCAATAAAAGAACATACAGTACAGTTCACAATAAAAAATATGCTACTTAAATCACTGGCTAGCTGGACCTTTTGACTAAATGAACATTTGATAAGTGGAGTTAAAAAACTGGAGTGGAAAACGGAGATTATAACAGGAGTCTACTAACCTGTAAGTGACAACTGATATTTCCTATTAATAATCAATTTAAGGAACTAGGCTGCAAGTTGAAGGGAAGGACCTCCAAAGTGATATTCTCTGAAATATTACCTGTGCCATGCGCAATTTAGGAAAGACGGGGAGATTAGAGATATGAATGCATGGCTAAAGACCTGGTGCAAGAGGGAAGGATTTGGGTTTCTAGAGCACTGGGCAAAATTTTCATTGGGGTGCAACCTATATGCTAGAGATAGTTTGCACCTAAATGGAAGGAGGTCTGCTGTGCTGGGGGAGAGGTTTATGGGGAGGCTGGAGGAGTATTTAAACTAGGATTGAAGGGGAGAGGGAGAATTAGATTATAACTGGGTAGACTGATCAGACGGGTCAGTTCTTATTGGTGGGTGGAATGGGGAAAGATGGGGGGAGGGCTATGGCAGATAAGAAGGTTCCCATGTTGGAAACAACCATTGGAACTGGTGCCCTTTGTATGAAAATACAAAATCTGCAAAATACGTGTGCACAAGGTGTCAATGGATTAAAGTGTTTGTTCACCAATGACAGAAGTCTGCCAAGCAAAATAGGCGAGTTGGAAGCTTTGGGGCATGAACAGAACTATGATTTAATTGGTATTGCTGAATCTTGGCTTCATTCTTCACATGACTGGGCCATTAATATTCCTGGCTATGTTCTGTTACGGAGAGACAGGGTAAATAGGAAAGGTGGTAGTGTCTGTCTCTATGTGAGAAGTGATCTCAGAGTGAGTGTGAAAGAGGACCTAGCTGATGGAGCGTGTGATGAGGCTGAAGCACTATGGGTGGAACTGCACATGGGGTGCGTACTACAAAGGTATTCGTTGGAGATTGTTATAGGCCTTTCAGTGTTAATGAGGAGGTGGAGACGCAGCTCCTTGATCGAAAGGGGCTGCAAGGGCTGGGACAGTGATAATAATGGGGGATTTTAACTACCCGGAAACTGACTGGAGTAACGGTACTTCAGGAACAGTTAAAGGGCAAAAATGTATAAACCTACAAGAGGACAATTTTATGGTACAGTTCATAGAGACCCCAACTAGGAATAATGCTCTGCTAGACCTGGTAATCTCAAACCATGCTGAGTCTATTACGAATGTCCATATAAAAGAAAATTTGGGTAGCAGTGACAATACTATGATTTCATTTATTGTTGGCTGTAAACGGCAAGCATATACGAGAAACATAAAAACGCTCAATTTTAAGAGGGCTAGAACAAGTTTAAAAGGCTAAAAATCAAACCTTTTTATAGCTTTTTTTTAACTTTGGCCGTAAGCCACAGATAATAAAAGAGCTTTTATGAAATATAAAAATGAAGGAACACTATCATTGTTTAAACATTACAAAGAATATGAAAAAAAGAAATAAAGGCTGCAAAAATTGAAAATGAACGGCAGGTTACAAAAGACATACCCCAAAAAATTCTAAATATATTAATAGCAATAAGGTCTGGTCCGAGCACATAGGCCGTTTACAAAATAATCTAGAGTGGATGACTGGGGACAAAGAGAAGGCAAATTTACTAAATGCCTTCTTCAGCTCTGTGTATACAAAGGAACATGGTGGAGCCCTTGTACATAATGGGCATGGTATTGACACAGCTCCAGATGATCCACATTGGCTCACAACTGATATGATCCAGAAATACTTAGACAGAATAAAGGTGAATAAAGCACCTGGACTGGATGGCATACACCCACGGGTCCTTAAAGAATTGAGCTCTGTCATTTCAAAGCCATTGTTTTTCATTTTTAGGGACTCTTTAATGACTGGCATAGTACCACTGGATTGGCCTAAGGCCAATGTGGTGCCTATATTTAAAAAGGGGTCAAAATCTTTACCAAGTAATTATAGACCTGTTTAACTTCTATAGTCGGGAAGATACTGGCGAGTTTAATTAAAGACCACATAGATGAGTTCTTGCTGGAAAAAAATATTTTAAGCAACAGACAGCATGGATTCATGAAAGACAGACGTTCTCAAACAAATCTGATTTCTTTTTATGAGAGGGTGAGGAAAACCTGGACAGAGGGGTGGCGGTGGACGTGGTATACTTGGACAGAGGGGTGGCGGTGGACGTGGTATACTTGGACAGAGGGGTGGCGGTGGACGTGGTATACTTGGACAGAGGGGTGGCGGTGGACGTGGTATACTTGGACAGAGGGGTGGCGGTGGACGTGGTATACTTGGACAGAGGGGTGGCGGTGGACGTGGTATACTTGGATTTTTCAAAAGCATTTGACACAGTTCCCCACACACAGCTAATGTGTAAGGTAAAGTCTACAGGCTTGGAAAAATCTGTATGTAAATGGATAGAAAACTGGATAAAAGATCGATTTCAGAGAGTAGGGGTTAATGATTCATACTCTGAATGGTCTGGGGTTGTCAGTGGTGTACCCCAAGGTTCAGTGTTGGGCCCTTACTTTTTAATATATTTATAAATGATATAGGGTCTGGGATTAAAAATCCCATTTCAGTCTTTGCAGATGACACCAAGCTGTGCAGTGGAATAACGTCCTTACAGCATGTCTCCAATTTACAAGCCGACCTCAATGCACTGTTTAATTGGGCAACTATGTGGCAAATGAGGTTTAATGTTGATAAATGTAAGGTTCTGCACTTGGGAGCTAAGAATATGCATGCATCATACATACTGGGGGGGGGGTACAACTGGGGGAATCCATGGTGGAGAAGGATCTGGGAGTTCTGGTAGATCACAAGCATAATAATGGCATGCAATGCCAAGCTGCGGTTTCTAAAGTGAACAAAATCCTCTCTTGTATCCTGCGACCTAAAACTAGGGAAGAACATGCCTGGGGTCAGCAACTTGTTAATCAGGATCTGGACTTGCCGACCCGCCATCCTGGAGCATCTGAGTGCAGTGAGCTGGTGTCAGTGGCCACGGAGGAAGCAAGGGCTGCATAAACTGATATTTTCTCTGTAGCGCCGGCTCCTGTTCCAGGTGGATAGATACCAAGTGCACTCTGCCTCTAATAGTTTATAGCAGCCTGGAGAGTGATGCCAGCAGCAGCTGCAAGAGGAAAAGAATCTCTGTGTCCAAAAAACATACTCTGGGCATAATAATAGTGTTTGCAGTGGGCATATTGGCACCTATAAAAGGGTTAACCACTATTAGGCTACTTTTCACACTGATCTGCAGTGTCAGCACAGTGCATCTGCAGCTTTCCTTCGGGTTAGCTGCACTGAGCCATAGACTTCTATTATATCCTGTGGTTTTGGTGTGCCTTCAGAAAGTGCACCACACATATAAGATGTAATAGAAATCTATGGCTCAGTGCAGCTAAACCGCAGCAAAGCTTCAGGTGCACTGCGCTGTACCTGTGGTGTGGGTAAACCACAGTATTAAAGCAGCCTTATAGGGGGCTCTGGACAGTAAGGGCATTTTTACATTTGTGGTGTGGGGGGGTGGTAAAACCCTGCAGTTCATTGTGGCCACGACTGCTTACCAAATCACTTAAGTGGTCCTCACTCTTCAAAAGGTTGAGCAGCCCTGCTTTACAGCTAAGTATACAAACGAACAATCTAGGTAACTGTTTTACCCTCTGATTTTCGATTGTAACACAGCCGGAGAGGTGTAATGCTGGGTACCCTATTAAGTAATTTGCTAGTTCAGCGTTTTTAGCTTTTTATGTCCTCTCCCAAGTTCCTCTTTGGACACTGAATGCCCATCATCACCTCTGTCCAGTGAGCAAGGGGCTGACTCAGGAGCAGTAATAAACCTGGAGTTAGAAGGGTGAGGTATAGTACAGTATGTGTATCTCAAGAATGGCTGGTCAAAATCCAGTACAAAGCCTTTAGGTAGTTAAAACCGCAATCAGACAAGTATACAAGATGAAATATTTATATGTTTGCCTGGAGTTCTAATTTAACATTAACATGTTTGGGTTTCAATCCCAGGAGACTGAACTGTCACTTCTTTCCACAGAGAAGGAAGCGAACGTGTGCTACCAAGAAATTGATGTGCCTGACACATTTCCAGTGGAGCTACGACAATACATCCCAAACGTTTGCTATTCTCATGAGAGTGAAGGGTTGGTATATGTTTAATTAGTAGCACTTGTCAAATCTTATTATACAGATCAAGTTTGTCCATGCTTACATAAACAAATCCATATTTATTATAATGAAGACAGGATCTCTTGCATTATTGTAGGAACACACAAAATAGTATAAGCGTGGCCTGCAGTGTGTTTTCTGTAGTATGTGAGGTCTTTTTAGAAGATTTAATCTAAATTGTATTTTTTTTTTCATTGCCAGACAACAAAATATCAGATTACATACATAGCAGAGCTATACATACAGTGTTGTGAAAAAGTATTTGCCCTCTTTCTGATATATTTGTCATACTTCACATCATCAAAACATTTTAATTTTACACAAAGATAACCTGGGTAAGTACAAAATGCAGTTTTAAACAATTTCATTTATTAAGGGAAAAAAGCTGCCCAAACCTGCCTGGCCCTGTGTGAATAAGTAATCGTCCCCCTCCCCCTTTGCTAAATCTTTAATGAACTGTGACTAACCACATTTTTTTTGGAAAGCGGAGTTAAATTTCACTTGCATACCCAGGCCTGATTACTGCCAGATCTGTTGAATCAAGAAACCTCTTAATAGAAGCCGTCTGAAAAAGTAACGCACATTAAAAGATCTCAAGAAGCAATACATCATGCTGCAATCTAAAGAAATTCAAGAACTGTAGAGAAAGAAAAAGGAATTGACATGTCAGTCTGGAAAGGGTTACAAAGCCATTTCTAAGACTTTGGGACTGCAGCAAACCACAGTGAGAGCCATTATCCACAAATGGAGAAAACTTGTAACAGTGGTGAACCTTCACAGGAGTGGCTGGCCTACAAAAATTACTAAAAGAGCACAACAATGACTTACAAAGGACGCAATAGAAGAACCCAGAACAACATCTAAAAAAAAAACTACAGGCCTCACTTGCCTCAACTAAAGTCAGTGTTTATGATTCAACAGTAAGAAAGAGACTGGGCAAAAATGGCATCGATAGGAGAGTTCCAAGGTGAAAGCCACTGCTGGACAAAGAACACAAAGGCTCAACTCCCATTTTCAAAAAAAATCTTTATTATGCCCAAGACTTTTGGGCAAAAATCCTGTGGACTGATGAGAGAAAAGCTGAACTTTTTGGAAGGTGTATGTCTCGTCACATCTGGCATAAAACTTAACACAGCATTTCATAAAAAGAACATCATACCAAGTCAAACGTGTGGTGGTGTGATGGGTTGGGGCTCAAGCACACTTGGGTTATTCAACAGGACAATGAATGAAACACACCAGCAAGTTTAGTGTTTTGGAGTGGCCTAGTCAAAGTCCGGACTTAAATATGATTGAAATGCTGTGGCATGACCTTAAACAGGCCGTTCATGCTCTTAAATCCTCCAATGTGGCTGAATTAAACCAATACTGCAAAGAGTGGGCCAAAATTCCTCCACTGCGATGTGAAAGACCCATTGCCAGAGTTATCACAAATGCTTGACTGCAGTTATTGCCGCCAAGGGTGGCACAACCAGTTATTCGGATTGGGGGCAATTACTTTTTCACATAGGGCCAGGCAGGTTTGGACAGCATTTTTCTCTTAATAAATTAATCATTTAAAAACTGCATTTTGTATTTACTCAGTTTTGTGTAATATTAACATTTGTTTGATGTTCTGAGTTATGTAAGTGACTAATTTAAAAAAAAAAAATCAGGGAGGGGCAAATACGTTTTCACAGCACTGTAGCATATAGTAAGGGTCTACAATTTAAACATACAGTTTCAGCAATGATCATTGTAAAGATCCACATGATGGAACGTCTAGCAAAGAAATTTTAACTTTCAAATAAGAAAAGAAAGAGAAAACACACACGAAATCAGCGGAAAATAAAAGCATCAGTATAGACATTGCTGTCCATCCGGACCATTGGAGTACACCGATAGAGTAGGTTCAGGTGAATTATACAGTCACCACATCCCTTACAAATGTATGAAAAACAAACCAAAAAAGGAACTGTGGGGTTTTAATGGTGCTTTTCTCAGAAAAAAAATAGACAGGCACATCAGAATAAAAGTTTTATTACAAAATTCATTTAAAAGCTGCTGGGGTGTATATAGTCCCATTTAAAAAAAAAAAAAATATATATATATAAAGGTTAGGTTAGAGCAAGCCATGAACTCCTAAACCACCCCCCTGAAAGGCACCTCCCCTCCTAAATCACTTGATTTCATAAATGCATATATCAGGAAGGGGGTGCAAAATCCCAACTTTTGCTTTTTCAGGGGTTCGTGGGGTGCAGTTCAATTTGACTGCCAAAGAAAAACAGAAGGAAGTGCCTTTCTGGGGGGCTGTTTAGGGGTCTATGGCTTGCTCTAACCTTTTATCTTGTTTTTTTAGGGGACTATACACCCCAGCTGTTTTTAACTGAAATTTTGTAATAAAGCTGATTTTATTTTGATGTATCTGTCTAATCTGTTCAGAGAAAAGGTATTGCACCGTCTAAAATCACCCTCCTTCCTTTTTTTTTCTTTGTTTTTCAGGACCATTTTGAGTGCAAATTACGCTGTACAGGTAGTTAATGGAGAATTCACCACACTGTCTTGCAACCCTCTCATAAAACAGTAATAGCCAGGGTTATTTACTCATCCAACACCTACTCCATAGTCACTGAAGATTCCTACTAGGGGAACCATACCTTGGAAATTTTTTGAGATGTCCACGTGAATTATTCATGATTCTCTAAAGTGGAAGAGCAACATTAACCAGCCTCTTCCATGTAACCAGAGTAAGAGTTTCCTCAAAAATCCCATTTCTAGCAATTGGCTTTCATACATAGAGGAAGAAGAGTAAAGCATTACTCCTTTCCTCATCTTCAGTGATGCCCAACGGAGAAGAGGTTGCAGATGTTAGGGATGCCAGACTTATCCGCCATAAATTGTTACCTGAGATCACAAGGACCCAGCCTTTGGGCACTCCCAAACCATGTGAAAAAATGATCTGCATTTATGGCACACAGTGGAGTCCCATTTACGCATACAAAATAACCATAATGGAGTGTAACAAGTTTGATGCAGATAACATATTTATATAATTCTATCAATAGAAGCTATAACTGTAGGGAGATCAGTGGGAAGCAACTCCCTCCACTGCTCTTTTGACAGCTCCGGTAAAATGGCAGACAATGATCTTGGGTCCTCCCAACCTATGTAGAGGAACAAGGAGCTATAGCAACATAATACCTAGAAATCAGCTTGTTGTGATCGGGGTCCAGAAGGACAGATTCCAATTTGGTTTTAAAGCGGAGCTCCACCCAAAAGGGGAAGTTCCGCTTTAAGGACTGCTTCCCCGCTCCCCATTAAGGATTGGCACCTTTGGGGGGCGGGGGGGGGAGTGGGTACCCGAATTTGACAGGTATCCGCTCCCACTTCTGGTCCGATCGCCTAGGTAATCGGAAGAAGAAGCTGTCCTCCCTCCCTGTTGTCTTGTGAGACACGTGACAGGTCCCAGAAGACTACAGGATCATTCATGAAGCGCAGCGCTACTCGCACATGTGCAGTGGGTACCCGGCTGTGAAGCCGCAAGCTACACAGCCAGGTGCTCACACTGAAGATGCCGGCCTCCTGGAATACAGGACGGCTGGTGAAACGGGCTGCAGGGGACACACCGCGGGACTGAGTGACAGGTAAGTGGCTGTTTTTTAAAAGTCAGCAGCTACAGTTTTTGTAGCTGCTGACTTTTATTTTTTGGACAGAGTGAATGGAACTCCACTTTAAGCAAAAGATACCTCTCCTCCCCCTCCAAATTGGGCCCTCATGGCATGGCGTAGTTGATAATTAAAGAGCCACATTCTCTGAACCCCCTCTCCCTAGATAAATCCTCAAAAGAACAAAAACGTCCCTCTGAATATATCTGATGAGCATATTTAAACCCTTATTGGGTCCAGGGCAAGCCATGATTCAACTTTATAAAATTCCCCCAAAGATGGGTTAAACCACAAAAGATTATTAGGAGATAGACTGAACAAGGGGTACATCCGAGAGGTGGCTTCAACTCCAATAAAAAAAATCTTTCCCAGTAAGTAAAAAACCGCCCCACCAACTATCCCAGGAATTTCTTTCCTATAAAGCAAATTGATGTTTCGTAGGCAGTAGCTACTACTGCCTTTGCCACAACCGCAGCGTTTGAAATCTGGGGAAAAAAATTAACAATGGAGATCTATTAATTGAAAAGCAAAATAGTTCCCCCCGCAGGTCATGCAATGCCAAACCACCCAAGTCCAGAGGAAGTTTCAGGGTGTGTGAGAGCCCCACAAAAACAGTATCAACAACGAATCAATAGACCAACATACACTCGGGGGAGTTAGAAAACATGGAAAGGAATTTGGGAAGGAAAATCATTTTTAATGAATGCACCCTATAAGGGTAAGTGGTAACACCTTCCATCTACAAGCTTTGTCTTTAAATGCCTCCACCTCCGGGGACAGGTTATTCTAAATCGTATTTTTACTTTTACATGGAGGATTCTTTCAAACAATGCACAGCTGCCCCAGCAGAACTATTTTTTATGAAAAAAAAATCACCTATGTCTCTGACACCATATCAAAACACTTCCAGGTGTACTTGAGCAGGTGACAGCTATAGTCCCATGGGGACAGCCGTAATTGGTCTATTGCCACCCATTGTCAGGTGATTTATTCTCTGTAGATGCTTGTATTCATTTTGTTACCTTCAAACATAAAACTGCAGGAATTGGAGAATACATTTAGAGACTACCAGCCAGGGGCGGGAGCCACAGAAGCTCTACAGTTACTGAATTAGCAAACCTCTTACGCCTAGCTCTGGACTGACTTAACGGCGTTGTATGTTGAATCTCTGCAGAGATATCACTGCTTCCAAATGGAGAGCAAGGGTCTTTATCTACAGCATGCAGGCAGGAGACAGGCTTTTTAGTCAGACTGTTTCTGCTTTAAAAAAAAAAAAAAAAAAAAACTAGACGATGTTAAACATCTTTTTGTTTTAATGCACCTTGAATGCATTTAACAAATTTAAACTGAACGTTCAGTTGAGCTTTAAGATCAAGTGGACCAAAATGTTGGGAATATGTTTTATAAAGAATAGAAATGGCTGTCATCAGCCCATGTGTATACAATAAGTGGATTTTTTCATCATTGCCGCAGATTATGCTTTACTGACATTAGATGCAGAATATAGCAAGAAGATAGCAGTACTAGCAAGATTGAATGCACAGTATGTCAGTCCTTTCACCTGTTCAGAGTCAGTGTATTGATTGGTATGATCTTTTATCTCTTCCAGGCCATTAAGGTGTGTCATTCTTGTCGCTCTTAGAGACATACATTGTGGAGAAGAGCTCTTTTCAAACTATTTTACAATAATTCGGTAGCTAATGCTGAAGCCTCGAGATTTACAGCAGTATTTACACAATATGGAAACGGAAGCATTACACGATGTATCTGAGGTCAGACATGTGCAGTGGTGGCCTGCATGGGGTTTTTTTCTCTGTACAGGTTTTCTTTAGGAACTGTTTTTTTTTTTTTTTTTTTTTTTTTTTTTTACATCAAAGTATCTCCATGGTGTGATCATTATAGGTGCCCTGTGTTGGAAGACATTTGGAATGAGTGGCAGAGATTTCCATGCACACAGGGCACACATATCATCTTTATGCATCACTGTACTGTGAACAGCACGGTTTTTCTTCTGTAAGTGATGTTAAAAGATAACTGTACATTCATATGCCTCCCCCGAGCAAAGGAACAACATCCCCTCTATACTTGCCTAAATCGGACAGCTGCAGCAATATTCAGATTCTCCAGCTGAAATCTTTTGTTTTGGGTAGGTACACTTCAAACTTTGTAACTCAAAGTTGATCCTCGCATACTTCTATGGGGTTATCTGCCGATACTGGAGACACCAATGCATGGACCTGTAGAAGTCTATAGGGATTGACTTCATGGACAGGGCAGAGTATAGCCAGAGGAGCTGAAGCTGTCTGATTCAGGTAAGTATACATCTAGGATGGGGGAGATAGTTTGTTTAGTTCCTGGGAAGTGGGTTATGCCAAAGGATGATGCAGATTTAGTCTTTAACATGTGTGTACATCTCTCTGCTTTTTTTTTTTTTTTTTTTTTTTTTTTTTATATTTAACTGAACAAGCATGTCCGTGATTACAGAAGTAATGGCAACTCTCAAAAGTGCACTAAATGCCTGATGCTACTTTTTCATGTTTATGGTATACAGCACTGAGTTGAAAAGCTAAACATTTCTCCTACTTGGATCTCCACTTTGCTTTGCAGTGGATTATGTGTATGTTTTGGTTTTATAAAGTGTTTTTGTTCTTTATATTATAAATAAAAGGGTTGTTATATATGATATGTATTGCTGTGAAGTTAATTTTACCACTTGGGCTATTCCACCCACTAAAGGGCAATTTACTGTACATTTACTGTGCCTGCCTATCAATTCAGCAATAGCTTTGTCATTACTTATGATTTACGTGTGTGTGTGTGTGTGTGTGTGTGTGTGTGTATATATATATATATATATATATATGTGTGTGTATATATATATATATATATATATAATTTACACACAATACATTGCCAAAAGTATTGGGACACCCCTCCAAATCATTGGATTCAGGTGTTCCGATCACTTCCATGGCCACCGGTATAAAATAAAGCACCTAGGCATGCAAACTGCTTCTAAAACATTTGTGAAAGAATGGATTGCTCTCAGGAGCTCAGTAATTACAAGCGTGGTATCGTGATAGGTTGCCACCTTGAGGCTATGTTTACATCATTGCAGAAAAGAAAAGTTCTTGACCCTATTTTAAATTAACATGTTGAGCCACATGGTGATGCAGCACAGTGTGTTTTGGCACAAGAAAATGCACACCGCATTTGCTGATGTCCCATTAGAGATCAACTATGCGATTGGGACCTCTGCAGGAAAATAAATATACTAACTGGACCTCCGTGGATTTTAATGTAATATAACTGCTCTGTCCTGTTTTATGTATTAGTTGGACTGTTTTTAAAATAAATTGCTCCCATTTAAACACCCTAACATTGCAATTAGGTTATTTTTAAGGAAGCTCTATATATTTTCCGTGACATTTCCTTGCTACTAAATATTCCACGGTCAACTGTTAGCGGTATTATAACAAAGTGGAAACGACTGGGAAGAACAACAACTCTGTCATTTTACGTGGCCTACCACTTCATGGCCGAGTGGGAACAGCGCATACTGAAGCGCACAGTGGGCAGAAGTCGCCAACTGTCTGCAGAGTCAACAGCTAAAGACCTCCAAACTTCATGTGGCCTTCAGATTAGTACAACAGTGCATAGAGAGGTTCATGGAATGGGTTTCCATGGCCGAGCAGCTGCATCCAAGCCTTACATCACCAAGTGCAATGCAAGCGTTGGATGCAGTGGTGTAAAGCACGCTGCCACTGCACTCTAGAGCAGAGGAGACGTGTTCTCTGGAGTGATGAATCATGCTTCTCTGTCTGGCAATCCGATGGACGTGTCTGAGTTTGGCGGTTACCAGGAGAATGGCACTTGCCTGACTGCATTGTACCAAGTGTAAACTTTGGTGGAGGGGGGATTATGGTGTGGGGTTGTTTTTCAGGGGTTGGCCCCTTAGTTCCAGTTAAGGAAACTGTTAAGGTGTCAGCATACCAAGACATTTTGGACAATTTCATGCTCCCAACTTTGTGGGAACAGTTTGGGGATGGCCCCTTCCTGTTCCAACATGACTGCACACCAGTGCACAAAGCAAGCTCCATAAAGACATGGATGAGCCAGTTTGAGGTGGAGAAACTTGACTGGCCTGCACAGAGTCCTGACCTCAACCCCATAGAACACCTTTTGGGATAAATTAGAGCAGAGACTGCAAGTCAAGCCTTCTCGTCCGACATCAGTGCCTGACCTCACAAACGCACTCCCGGTAGAATGGTCAAACATTCCCATGCACTCCTAAACCTTGTGGAAGAAGAGTGGAAGCTGTTATAGCTGCAAAGGGTGGGCCAACTCAATATTGAACCCTACGGACTAAGACTGGGGGGCCATTAGTGTACTAGGCTTCACTAAAATGGCAGACCGCTGTCCAGGTCTGAATCGTCACGGTCCTGCTATTTAGGAACCGGTTGTACCCCCCCCCCCCAAGCCATCGTCACCGCTGACCTCCCCACAGGCTGACATCGTAAGGCATGACAGTTCTGGATGAGGCCAGGAGCTGCCATGTTAAACATCTTGTGATTGGTTGCGAAGACTGCCCTATGTCCTAGCAACCAATCACCTGCTTAACCGGAATGTGCAGCTTCGGTGCTCCATTCAGAACTGTCCTGCCTCCCGACGTCATTTGTGGACCTACTGTATTTCCCATCCTCAGCTCCTCAGCCCTGTGTAAGGTAAGACGGAAGAGGGCTATGCCACTGCTGTGAAGGATGGGGAGGAAGCCAGGGGTGAAATAAAGGGGGTTCTGAGGACTGGAGTTTGAAGGAGGGGGTAATATAAAGGGGGGCTGAGGACAGGAATGTAAAGGAGTAGGGGGGGGAGATATGAAGTGGGGCTGAGGACAGAAATGTGAAGGGGGGGGGTGTGTGATACTGTATGTAAGGGGGCTGAGGACTGGAATGTAAAGGAATGATATAAAGTTGTGGATGAGGACAGAAATGTGGAGGAGGGAGGGTTTGATGTGAATGAGAGTACTGATGTATTAATGGGATTTTGATGTGAAGGATCTGAGGGTATGTTTACATCATTGCAGAGTCCTTGACCCTATTTTAAATTGACATGTTGAGCCACATGGTGATGTAGCACAGTGTGTTTTGGTGCTAGAAAAAACACACCGCATTTGCTGATGTCCCATTAGAGATCAATTATGCGATTGGGACCTCTGCAGGAAAAAAAATTTACTAACTGGACCTCCATGGATTTTAATGTAAGATAACTGCTCTGTCATATTTTATGTACTAGTTATAAAACAGGACTGGCTTTTTTTTTTTTGTAAATAAATTGCTCCAATTTAAACACCCTAACATTGCAATTTGGTTATTTTTATGGAAGTTCTATAATTTTCCCCCTTGATTTTTTTTTTTTTTTTTTGTCAGTTGACCAACCTTCATCCACTGCCAATAGTAGGAAGATGGCAAATGTCCACTACTGATTTAAGAATTTTAGATTCTTGCATAAGCCCGGTCATGACTTATCCCAACATTTCAATAGGCTATGGTGTGCTAGCCAAACAGGATTCTGCGACTTTAGATTGACTTACACAAAACACTGGCATATATCAGTTTCATTCTTCATTTTGTTTTGCAGGACTTTTCGTTTACCGAAAAATTTGTAAACCGAAGCGCCGTTTCCCATAGGAATGCACTGAAAAGCAATCCATTCCGGAGGTCAGCAAAAAGTAAACGCTACTAAAAATACTGTTATTTTATCAAGTTATGCAGTATTTTAGTAGTGACAACTATGTGTTAATGTTTCAGCTGTCAGCGGGGTTCCCCACTGACAGCTGAATGTAAAAGAACTGCTGGCAATTGAAGAAAAAAAAAAATGGCGCAGGGTCTCCTCTCCCATCCATACCAAGCCCTTTGGCATGAGAGTCCCCCCCCCCCAAATCCATACTAGACCCTTATCCGAGCATGCAGTTCAGGAAAGGAGGGGGGATGGACGAGCAAACCCCCGCCAAAGCAAACCAGGCCACATTGCCCTCAACATGGGGGGGTGCTTTGGTCCCCTCCCCCAAGAACCTTGTTCCCATGTTGATGGGGACAAGGGCCTTTTACCCACAACCCTGGAGGGTGGTTGTGGGGGTCTGCAGGCAGGGGGCTTATCGGAATATGGAAGCCCTCTTTAACACTGGGTCCCCCAGATCCTGCGCCCCCCCATGTGAATGAGTATGGGGTACTACTCATTCACAAAAAAAAAGTGTGTGAAAAAAGACAGGACACAGTCTTAGAAAAGTCCTTTATTAAAAGAGAAAACTAAGAGTGTCCCCGCAGTAGATCCAATGTCAATCACGATGCCCGCTGTCACCGACCCGAAAAAATTAAAAAACTCTGCTCCTGACGATGGCTTCCAGCCGTCTGCTTCTGTGGTGGCTTGACAGTTCTTAAATATGTAAGGGACGTGGCCAACTGAGTGACCCTGTCCCATGTGACATCACTGTCACATGCATGATGTCCCGGGGTGGCCCTACCCCTTACATATTTGAGAACTGTCAAACCACCACCGGAGCAGGCAGATGACTGGAAGCCATCATCGGGAGTGGAGCCTTTTTTTTTTTTTTTTCACACTGCACTTTTTGTTTTGAATGAGTAGTACTACATGTTCCCTTTCTCTGAAGACTTACTCTGTGAGTAGGCCGATTGAGGTG